TTAAAACATTTTAAAAATTTACATTTTTATTTTAACAAGTTACACCATAATAATCGTCTCATTAATAACTTCGAAATGAGTCTAATATTGAATAGTTTTTGACTTAATTATATTATTATATATCATATATATTGTGAAAAAATATTTTTAATATTTACGATTTATACTTTTATAGTTATTTATTTATATATACTATATATTTTTGGGTTAGGCTGTCCAAATTGCACTGTATAATATATTCTGAATTAATATGTTCTTGGGTTTTTTTTTAAATATATATATATATATACATGTATTAATTCAACCTTAATCCGAGTTTATGGACAAGAAAGAGAGTAACCAGTTGAAATTTCATTCTAAAACCCATCTTTTTTGGTCTTTTCATGGCTTATGATCTATCAAATTTGTAGTTTTACTTATTCATTTTGAGTGTTTATCTTAAATTCAAGTTTCTTGGTTCTTGCTCTTGGTGTAAATCGAATACATTTGTGGAGTCGTTTAAATATGTTGGATTTTAAATATATTGGATTTTAAATTGTTATACAATTTTTTCCATCGATAGTCTGTAATTGGAACCATAACTCTTATTTATTCAAATTGTATTAATATGTAAAGACCAAATGTAACATATATCATCGTTAAAATTCATGGCTCCCGTCGCATTGCGCGGGTACACAACTAGTATATATATATATATATATATATGTGTGTGTGTGTGTGTGTATGTATATATATAGAGAGAGAGAGAGACTTGGAATCTCGTGAGACTGGTTTGTTTTCGTGAGACGCATGAAACAACTTTTTTACACTTGAAAATTCATAGCAAAACGCTGTGAAGGTTTTTGCTGTGGAGGTTCGGCTTTTTTAAATTCACAGCGTTTTGCTGTAAAGTTTCAAGTGTAAAAAAATTGTTTCATGGGTTTCACGAAAACAGACTGGTCTCACGTGAACCCAACTATATATATATATATATGTGTGTGTGTGTATGTATGTATATTTAAAGTTATTTAGAATTATTATGGCGTCACATTATTGTATGTGTTTCTATAGCATCTCCAATAAACACGCAAACTCTTATACCAAATGGTCCAAACTTGCTTTTACACGAGCTCCTCCGACAAACACATTAAGCGTGCACAAAAAGGGTGTTATAAACAGTAAAACACCGAATTTGTTGTAACATAATTCATTTATACTATTTTTTGTTTGATGTTAAAAACTGAAAATACTTATAATATCCTATTTCATGTTAAAAGTTATAAAAAAATGGAGATAAATTTACAATTTGCAAAAATAATGGTTGAAGATGGTTTCCTTATTTGTAGATGTACTCATCTTTTTAGTTATTTGTCTTGCTTTTGATTTTAAATAATGAAACTATTACTTTTATATTAAGAGATACTAGAAGGATACTCGTGCAATGTATCGAGACACATCTTGATTTCAGTTTTTTGTTTTATTATTTTTTTTATGTCAATATAATACAATTTTATGTGGTTTTAAAATATAAATTTGAAAATATCATAAAATTTTGAAAAAAAAATTATATCGATATCAGTATCAAATTAATATTTTTTAAAAGTTCTTGTGTTTCGGTGTAATTTTCTTAATTCAATTTTTTAAATTATAATTTAATTTAGATTTACTAAACAAAGAAATTTAATTTAGGTTTAATAATATAATTTTTATATAGATAATAACTAAGTATTCTGTTAGAACTCAATGATTATCCTAATTATATTTTAGATTTTTTATATTTAAAACGAGATGTTTATCCAATATTCGATTATGTTTATATGCAGTTAGTTACATGAATTCAAATATGAAGCTTTAATAAGTTGTATTTATGCACAATTTACTTGTAATCTTAAATTTTAAGTAATACACATCAATAAACAATACTTCGTGCATAAAAAATGGTTTTTAAAAGTTTTTGTCAAATGCTTTATAATATAGTATATATTTTAAATAACAACTTTAACTTATATATCAGATCAACCACAAAGATGGTGTCTGATTAGTTTGAGCTTGGCTCAAAATGTCAAAAGTGTCTGGAGGTCGCAGGTTCAAATCCAAGAATGAACAAAAATCCCTTTATGGCCACAGATGTTCAAATACGGTGACTCTAGGCTACCTGCAAAGCAGGTGGTCGTCCTGGAATTAATCGGCTCGCATAGCGGGTTGTATATCTAGGTTAATCAATAAAAAACTTATAGATCAGATGTTACAATAAATGTCATTTATAACACAAATATTATATTTGACTGTTTCTTGATGTAGCAATTAAAACTTTAGAGGAATATACTTATATTTCTTATGTTATTTTTTATTTGCCTTTTTTAGTTAAATAAAACATATCAACATTTTTCTTCAAAAAAACATAGAAAAAACATAATCATCATTTTATTTATTTTATCTTGTATTTAATATCAGTAATTAATAATTACAAAAAAAAAAAAATTACTGTCAATTGTTAATCATACTAACTTTGTTATTTATGACTGTTGGTTGCGATAATTGTTAATCATATCCGGATTATTTCTAAGACAATCATATTTGAATTGGTGATACGAGGATTTTCAGTCTGAACAGGTATGATAATTACTATTTGTATCATGTGTGATATAGATAACATGATTTCATCACTCGATTTCGGTTGTTTGTTTATCAACTAATGGTACCAAGTTTCTACTAATCAATTGGGTTTCATTAGTTATTAGACCCAACATGGCAATTGGGTTTCATTAGTGCTTGTAATTAGCTTGAGCAAATTGCTACTCAGTTACCTTTTTGGGGACCATTAGTGTTGGATCTACTAACTCATATGTAGCGGTGTTCTTACGCTGATGAAAGTTGTCACGTCATCAGAATAACTTGAATGCCATAACAATATCAACAATATGCAGTACAATAAATTGATATGATTTTGACATGAAAAAGTGTACAAATAACATTACCCGACGGTAATTATATAACTTATTAAAATTAATCAGGTAAATTTTCAAATGGTTCAGATTTCAACTTTTGGGAATTACCTTGAAATTAACTTGTGGCCTTGATTATAAACTTCTAAGTTCAGGGGTTGAGGCTGCCAAACCCCAAAACCCCTTTACAGAAACACACGGGTGCTCCCTTTGGCCCAACCCGCCCCACAACCCGACTATAAATACCTTGAAAACCCCGGGTCCAACCAATCGGACCACTCCTCTAACCCGATGGAAACCCTAGCCTTTTCTCTCCTTCCTCGCTCAACTACGATGACTGACCACCGGCGACCCTCTTCCGACGACGGAGGACCCTATTCAAGGGCTTTGGTTACTGGACTAAACTTCGATCAAACCACGGTGAACCGCCGAGGAATACCATAAACAAGAGGCATCCCAGGACATCATCCACCTACTGGTTCGGATTCTAGGCACCGAGATCAACTCTCGACAAACACCGACACCGGCCGCCGTCCTTCCTCTCATCTCAAGCCACGAAGAGCACCGATAAACTAGGCCATCAACGACGGAGACACTACTGGTTTATACTTCTGCTTCGGTTTCTTCACGAGACTAACCAGTCTTGACGCATACCTGCGATTTCGCCTTGGTCGCGACAAACTGGAGCCACAAGATGGGTTCGATGTATGAGGTTTGCTATAAAAAATAAACCTCAAGTCAGGGTTTTTGTACAGTGGTCGGTGGATAAACGCATCTGATTCAAATAGATTTATGTTTTTGTTATTTGGTAATACAAGGATTTGGGATACTGAACCCAAATTCCCATTTGTAGCCAATAAAGTGTTTTTCCAGTATGAATCCAACATTTATGACTGATTTCTTCTAATTTCGATATAGGAATGTTCTAAATATGTTTCTGCTATTACATTTGCTTCTACCTTGGTTCTAATATGAATGTACTGGGGGGATTTTTTGTTTGTTGATTAAACAGTGCAAACGCAGGGTTAAAGGCCCACTGGTGTGTCCACCACAGCCTTTCGACTCTTTCGGTCACCGTCTGCCCGCCAATAAAGGCTTACAATCGAGATCTTGCAACAGCTTATTAAATAAAAATCAATAAAACAAACTTATGATGTAATATTTACCTCACATTGCCTGCTGACGAACAAACTCAAACCCTACAGCTTCTGATCTCCATCTCTTTTCTTTTCCTTTTGAATGAATGAGTAATTTTAATATAGCCTTTGAATGCTATCACTCGATACATATAAGGATTAGGCTAATGGGACTGATTTCTTTTGATATTTGAGTATGATTATAATGATGAAAATGTGAAAAAGAAAAGTACAAAACTCCAACCTCTAAACTTGTCCTTTTGCTGTTGCGCTGTCCCTCTTGCCCCCTCATCTGTGACTACTAAACCGTAGTTCTTCTACTCGATATGAATGTTGAACTGCAGTGTGATTCAAGCCTGTTACCAAGCTCTGTCCCTCTGCCAGAGAGTGTGCATTTTGGCCCTTAATGAATTGATTTGTGATAGAGGCAAAAATTTAAATCCGATTCAGATACAGAGGACTAGCCTGCCAGACGAGAACCGCCCTTCCCAATTCTTTTAATAAATTTATATTCTGGGCTTTCTGTTTTCGAGCATCTACTTGTGGGTTCAATTACTAACCATATTCTCGTTTGCAGATTTGGGATTGTTCATGGCATCAAAGCATATGTTTCCTGTTGTGATTTCTTGTTTGATGAAAGATAATTCTCAAGTATGCACTCAATTAAATGAATCCCCTGTTTAGGTGTTTTACTTATTCCTTCCAGTTTGCAATTGTCATGAAGTTTGAAGATCAAGAAACCTCTTCTTGTAAGTGGATTCAACAAAACTTCGCTTGCAGCTGCTGAATTCCCAGATATTTTGACTTTTCGGTTATATGTGTGCAAATTATATAAAATTTCCAAGATGATTTGAAATGGGTTGGATCGAAATTTGCAAGTATTTCATTTAATTCTATACTTGAAGTTTTAACATTATGCATACATTGAAAAAGAATTCAAAGTGGAAAATGTATTTGATAATAGGAGAATTAATATAAAGAAAAATGTGGATAGTAACAATCTCCAATATTTGATAAGGAGTATCTTAAGAAGTTAACTCATGAGAACCAGTAGAACAGCGATAATAAATCCGGTGCCAACCTGTGTTCCAAATCTTCCTTCCTGTTGGAACAGGGTTCTTCCATTACTCTGTGATCAAAGAAAGCAAAGGTCAGTGATTGCAGGAATCTTAGATAGTTAAAAACTGACCTTTTTATTTATTTATTTATTTATCAGGGAATATGTAGGAAATTACCAGATCAAGTGTTGGTGCCGGTGCTGGTGTTGTGTCATCGGAGTCTGTGGCTGTTGGTGGTGCCGGTGGGCTCTTAGCCACTGGTGCCGGTGCTGGGGCATGATGTTTCTTGTGCTTATGCCTTCTTCTCTTGTGGTGTCTAGGAGCTGGTGCAGGTGAGGGACTCATGTCTGGTGTTGGGGCTGGTGGAAGGGTAACTGGTGCTGGAGCTGGTGATGGTGGTGGTGGAGCCGGTGCTGGTGGGGGAGGAGTTGGTGCTGGCGGTGGCGTTGCTGGTGCTGGGGACACTTTTGGTGGAGGCACAGCAGGCGGTAATGCAGGTGGCGAAACAACCGGCGGTGGTGTTGGGGAGGGCAATGACGGTGGTGGAGTAGTTGGACTAGCGACAGGAGGACTCACTGGTGGTTGTGGTGGTGGAATTTGAGGTGGTGGGACCGTTGGGCTAGAAACCGGAGGGGTTTTAGGGGATGGGGAGGATAGAGGGGTGGCTGGTGGTGGCTGTGTTGGTGCGACCGGGGTGGCTGGTGGTGGCTGTGTTGGTGCGACCGGGGTGGTAACAGTGGCAGGTGTATTTGATGGTGAAGCTGCAGGCCCTTGTCCATTGGAAATGACCACCAGAAGGCAGAGGCAAGCCAGAATACTAGTAATCCACAACATTTTGGTGGATGGTTGGTTTTCTTTGGATGAAAAAAATTGGAACTTTATAAGATATCTGCAATCAAGAGGGTTGGTGCTACATGACCTTCATGTGGGTGGTACATCTTCTCTTATTTCTTGATTTGGTGTCCTTGAAGCCCAATCTTGTCAGTTAAGGGATGATGTTTATGATTTTGGTACACATTTCAGATCTAACCATAAATCATTGGTCATCTTTCACCATCAACTCCAATAAATGATCTTTTTCTTTTTCCATAGACTCTTTTTCATAAATCAAGCGTCTTTTTTACATTTTTACGATTACAAAAGAATAACGTTGTGAAAATTGCTGTACTTTTGATGTGTTAAGAGTTTAGAATGGTTACATTGGGATCATTTCTTCTCTGTACATGTTGGAATTTGTCTCGTCTCTTCAAGGGCCTTTTTTGAAAGGTAAGGGTTCTTACTTCTTTTCTGACATAATGCTTGAAAACCTACCGTTGATCGTACTCTTCGAGATGTTAACCAACTACCTAAAATACACTTTGATACAATGTCATGGTCACATGACAGGAAAAGCCAATCTGAGGGTTGAGATCTCGAATTCTGTCCACATCTGCAATTGAAGTTGCGGGCCAAATGTTCAAAGTACTTTTAGGCAATAATTCATATAGAAAAAACTGAAATGTAGGCCAATGCGAATAAGTGCAAAATTTAAGAACAAGATTCAATCTATAAACAGAAGATGATATTGAAGGCATGATGCATTTTAGATAAGAAGTTTGAATGATGATGATGAGATGAAGGTGGAGCTGGTGGTTCTGGTTCTGGTTCTGTTTTCTTCTTTCTCCTTAGCCGGAAAAAGTGCTGCATGACTTCGCCGCACTCTGCCGCCAATACCCCTCTTCTTACCGCCATGTTTGGGTGGAACGGATGCGCAGGAACAGGCGGCTTATCTGTCGGCATTGACCCATTTCCACCATCCCCATCACCAAATAGTCTGCAAAACCAACAGCATTCATATATCACTAGTTACTATTCTTCATTATCACCACAAACCACCACCGGCCACCACCACCACAACCACCGTTGACGGGTACTTATGACCAATCAACAAATGTCTAACTCTATAATCTTGTAACCCGTCTCCAGATTGTACTTTAAACTAGTTAGAAGTGTAATAAGTATTGAATTTATGAAAATGATAACTTTGATGAATGCAAGTTTGGCATTAAATACAAAGGACAAAAGCAATGCCTTGATGCTGACTAATGACAACAAATGCAGGAGAATGAAATAGTAGTGCAGCATCAAAAGCCACTTCCATAAATGAAAACTGGGGCCGCTAATTCGTTAACGGTAAGCGCTTATCGGTAAAAGTCAAGACTCCAGCATACCTTACTGGTAAGATTCTAATCCGTTAAAACAGTATCATATGCAATAATTTATCCGGTAAGCGTTAACTGGGTAAGAGTTGTCACCCTCACCAGGTAAGAGTTGTCACCCTCACCAGGTAAGACTCTCGGCCCAAATCGTTTCTCTTACCGGGTAAGATTATCGATCATTACCATGTTCATCAATAAGTAAAGGGACCCGGTAGTTTAGCGAACGGCCCCTAAATCATGATATTAAACATACTTTCTTTGAAAATACTTGCATACCTAATCCAGCTACCATCAGCTCCTAGAAGTTTATTCGGAGCTCCCCATACGATCGTACCAATTCTGGCTTGAAGGATGGCTCCGGCACACATCGGGCATGGTTCAAGCGTTACATAAAGAGTTGTATCCTGCAAGCCATGCAAAGCAAATCCAGGAGTTACATAAGGTGCAATCAGAGTAAAAATGGTAAGTGGATTGTTTCATATGCCATTATATATGAACAAGCAAGATAATTTAGATCAAATATTCTTCCAAGATTAGTTATTTTAGTGACTGGGAATGGAAAACCCCAACAAGTAATAATTTTTTGAGGTGGGTATGCAAAAAGACCATCGAGAATAGAACGGTTGGATTCAATCTTTTCAACGGAAACTAATGCAAAGACTACTGGAAAAACCCAATATCTTAGTACCAGAATCCTCGTAATCTCAGGATTTGATGCTTACGTGATGATCCATGCCATAGTTTCCTAAAAGATTGCAAATTAAACATTCTTGTACCACAACAAAATTAGCTTTATAGGACGTCAGATATGTCTAAATATACGAAAAGAGTGCTTTATAGGACTTCAGTTTATAGGAGCAAACAATTGTGCGTCCTATGTAAAGGTGTTGCAATAAGTTGATAGGACGTTGGGCCATCTAACTGGTTTTTGAGGACACCTTGGAAATAAAACGTCCTATTTGTATTCTTATACGACATTATTTGAAAATAAGTGTATTACAAAATAAGTATCCTCTAAAAAGAAGCAACAAGAAGTGTCCCATAGAAAAGACTTGTTAGGACATCCAAAAATATATTCTCTGACTTATTGTAACACTATGTAACATACAATTGTTTGGTCCTATAAAACGGTACATTAGAACATTTAGAGATATTTGGGGTTCTATAAAGTTCGATTTTGCTGTAGTGTTGGTAGGGAAAGAGTAAGGATTACCAAAAGTCTCCACGAGCGTAGGTTGGTTGAGGCCTCAGGTATACAAATCATCTCAGCATGAGCAGTTGAGTCATGTAATTCTTCTACCCTAAAACCACAATATTTACTGTATAAAAACATGAACCTGCGAACAAAAATAAACCCCGAAAGACTTAAAACTTACAGATTATGTCCGCGAGCTATGATTTTATCACCCTGCACAAGAACAGCTCCAACAGGTACCTCCCAGATATCAGAAGCTTTTTTAGCTTCCAACAATGCTTCCCTCATAAACTTCTCATCGTTTTTTCGTTGCTTAACTTCAAGGGTATACGCCTCTTCCCATCCGAGTCGATCTATAGATACAAGTTTCCTTCTTTTCAACTCTTCAATCTTGGGATTCACCATTTTGCTAATGTTAGATTCACCAGCTTGTGATATTTCAGTCAAAACAGGTGGAACTGGTTGATCTGTGACAGATGTATCGGTTTCACCAGCCTGTGAAGTTTTCCTGATTGCAGGAGATGGAGATCTTCTCATTCGAATTGCAGATAATGGAAAAGATGATTCTTCAATTATGGGTAAAGAAGTGTTTCTGGATGATCCATCATTGTTTGATGATGGTAATGGTGAATCTAACCCTCCTGAATTTCGTGATTGACCTTTTGTACTTCTGTTTTTCACATTGTCATCAATAGAATCATCTGGTTCCTGACCAGAAAACCATGCTTCACTACTAGCAGACAGATATGAGGAACCCTTTGCACCACCAGAGTTTGGAGTACGACTTCCAGAACGTGGAGATGGCCAACGTGATCGAACCACATCCCCAATAATGGTCCACAATGACCTGCCACTAGTCTTGATGGCTCCATCATTTTCACTAGAACAGGAAGTGTTTTCTGGTGCATCTGTCTCTGAGGGCTCTTGAGTAGATGCATCAGTTACGTGCCACATCTCATCAGACGGCCCTTTTGGTCCAGACCCTTGAGACGAGTGTCTTGCGCCATTTTCCTTTTGATGAAAGCTTTCTGAACCATCATCTGAAGTCTTTAGTTTATCTTGCTCACCCTCTTCGTTAACTAATTTAGCTTCATTAGATTTTCTTAATTCTGTTTCTGAAACTCCCTCATCTGTGGTTCCTTCCACCAATTTCATCCCTGAAATCGAACAATTATCTGAAACTTTGAATTCTGAAGTCTCTGAATGCCGTTTTTGTTTCTCCATACTAACGTCAGATTTTCTATGTGAAAATGAAGTGTTTCCACTATTTGTGACATGGGTATCTGAGATCCCTAACATTTGTTGCGATTTCTCTCTGAATTCTGTTGTTAGCCTGACCAAATGATCAGTTTTCTGGTGTTTTTCTTCTCTGCTGTCTTCAACCCCATCACTAACTTGTGTTGAATTCTCTTCCCAGCTATTCATTCTACTTTTCGACACTTCTGAAATCACTTTTAACTTCTTTTCTGCGCCGTTATATTGCTTCTGGGAGCTGGAAGTTGATTCGATGACACTGTAATCTTTTCCCGATGATTCTTCAAATCTTTTATACTTCATTCTTGATCCTGATTCATCAGTAAATCTATCAGCCTCATAACTATGTTCTTGCCTAGATGAATCCTCAATATTCTCAGAAACATTCAATTGGTGTTGGCTAAACTCTTCATTCAGCTTCTTTTCTGATTTCTTTCTCCAATCTTGGCTTACACCAACCGATTCTCCATAATACCCTTTAACAGTATCCTTCTTCTCCAATATTTTCACTTCTTCCTTATCACATTCATGTCCCCCATCAGCATTTCCAACAACTTCATCAATACAACCTTCACTTTTGACCTCAAAATCTTTGCCACTCTCTATAGAACAGTTCGACCTTTCTTTACTCGAATCAAGATTTGCAGTTTTCGGTAAATTTTGCATCTTTGTCTTCCTTCTTTCCTTCCTCTGCCTCCAATCATCCTCCTCCATAGACCTAACTTTTACTACTTCATCACACTTCAAATCCCTTTTCGCAACCCCGGAAACTACATTTTTCTTTTTCTTACCATCACAAACACCAATATCCTCCAAACCCACTTCATCTGTCAATAAACTAAGCATAACTTCAACATCATCAACACTATCATCACTCACATTACTTAAAAACTGTTTCTTCCTCTTGGGTCCTAAACCCCTAAACTCATATCCACCCTTTACCAACCTCCCCTGTTTTGGTTTCTCCTTCAAAGAAGAAAGCTTCTCATAGTAATAACTTGTATCAAGATCAGTAAAAGAAGAAACCCCAGAAGTATTACCATGAGATCTTCCACTTTTACCATGAAAATAGATCAATCTTTTACAAAATGACCATTGAATCAAGGTCGATTGGCTTAACCCTTTACATAAAAAGCTAGGGTTTATCGAGGCCAATCTATTACACATCGAACTACCAGTAGCACAGCAACAGCAGCAACAAATACAGCATTTTGGCGATGATGATGATGCTGAAACTGATAATGGGATTCTCTCAAATGCATCATGAAACAAGTAGGAGGAATCATTGAAGGATAAAGATAAAGAGGGGTTTAGACGAAAGTGATACATCTTGTTTGAAACAAATATTGTGCATTATCGTTGGGTTGTTCTACTGTGCTGGTTCTTGTGGGTGGTTAGCTTGATGTTAGAATCGACATTTTTGAAGAATCTATTTTGGATTGGGAGAAGTGCAAGAATAGAATAGATGGAAGCTGGAAGTGATGAGAGTGATAGGATGTACAGTTGAACACCTGCTTTTAAAGATTGTAAAGTCTAGTAGTTGATGACTGGAGTCTAGTGGTTGGGATTCCTGAAACCAGTTTGCTGATTACAATGTCACCACTTGCTAACTTTGACCCATAGCATTTAGGAGAAAAACCAAGGGAGTCTTAAATGACAGCGAATCATCTTAAATGAAATTTTGGATTTTGTTATATTTTTATTGATTACTCCTTAATATCTTTAACATAGTCTACAAATAGATATGGTAGAGGCACGTTTAATGCTTGTCTGTCTATTAATTTTCAGTTATTCTCTTCAGCAACGGATAAAGCAGTTTCGTAGCTCACAAGGCTCGTAACCTTGAGTTCACAGGTTGAAATTTGTCGCTGCATACCTTTGTCAAAAAAAAAAAGTATGTTCTACTCTGGTAACTAGTAGTTGGTTGTTAATCATATTATCATTTTATATAATAATACTTATTTGAAACTTGGAGTTGAATGTAACTTTTTTTTCTAGAAAAAATATAAAAGGATGAATTTTATTTTCATTAGCAAAACAATGAAATGTGCCAATAAAATCTTTTTAGTTTTCGATAATCATGGATGTTTGGACTAGCTTGTGTGCACCTCTATTGATGTTATGGGGTCCTGAAGTTAACAGCTAAACAAACCTTTAGTGACCCAGGAGTTTCATTCGAACTGATGACTAATGGGGAACGAACTGATCAGTTGAGTCACACCTAAAGCGTGACTAGTTGTGGTTTTTATAGAGTTATATCTAATTGACCATATTGGACATATTTGACCATCTTTTCTCACTTGAGTGTGCCATTCTTAACCATTCATCTTGATTAAACCAAACCTTGTTACTCATAAGGTCTGTATAGAATTATACATGTTTATCATCGATTCTTAGTTAAACCAAACCTGTTTTTTGGGTCTTGTCAAACATTGAATCTCAGCATTTGCCTCTTTGATCATCACATTCTTGTAGGATAACTCTTGTGAAGATTTTTAGGTCTCGACCAACTGAGTGTCACTCACTACCAATTCGTGGTTAATTAGGTTCTTTTAACTAGTGAGTTTTCGGCAAAATTTTGACTGTATATCGGCCACGCATGCTTTTTGACTAGAATAATTGTTACATAACTCGTTGAAAATCTTAACTAGTTTTTTTGTTGTAGCATTTTTTTCCTCTTCTTAGTCTTGTTCTATGGGTGTCTCATTAAGTTACATTTATTTCATCGATCCAAATTTATGGGCCAATGGAAACTAAAACGTTGTTTCTCAATTTCTTTTGATTAAAAGTGAACATTTTTTTCAACAACTAATATAAACCATCGGACCGGATTTAATTTAACTGCATTCAACACATATTCTAATCAATTAATTGTCCAACTATAAATTTAACCAACATCTAGTTCTAGTACAATGTGAAAACAAAAATAAAGCCATAACAAATACACAGTTCTTTTTTGAGATAACGATCCATTTTATAGTTATAGTATAGATAAGGGCAAATTGCATGAAAAAGTAACGTACTTTAACTTGATTCCTATTTTGGGTAACGTATTTTCAAAACTTTCATTTTGGTACCTATTGATAGAGCAAATTGCATGAAAAAGTAACGTACTTTAACTTGATTCCTATTTTGGGTAACGTACTTTCAAAACTTCCATTTTGGTACCTAAGATGTAAAGTTTTAAACATTTAAGTACCCGGGTAACTGGTTGAAATATTAACCGATTATCATGCTGATATGACGAGTGATGTGGTATCAAACTCGGTATTATTTGTTGACGTGGTCAGTGACGTGGATTTTTTAAAATCTAAAATTAGTCTTTTTTTTAGTCTAAAATTAGTCTTTCCGGGTTACTCGGGTATTTAAATGTTTACAATTTTACATCTTAGGTACCAAAATAAAAGTTTTGAAAGTACGTTACCCAAAATAGGAATCAAGTTAAAGTACGTTATTTTTTCATGCAATTTGCCCTATAGATAAACGTATTTGAAACACAATTATTTACAAAGAAGCAATGGGCTTTCCGTACCATCTGAAATGATCCAGTAAGATGAGCGTCTGTTGGGCCTGGAATTGTCACTATTTGGCCCAAAAACATTTTATAGTAGCGCCATACTAGTAGCATCTAAAATCTAAATGTACAAATGTGGCAGCAAGAGTAAGGTCCTTTAAATGTACATAAGAAAGTACCTATCATTCAATGTATATTAGGATGAGATGCATCAAGTTAATCCTAGTATCAAACGTGATTCATGGGTGAGTTTGAGATTGAAGATGATCAAAAATCGAGATTTCTCTCTATGTTTCTCACTTTAACTTTCTTACTCACACAATTTCTCTCTCTCTCTCTCTCTCTCTCTCTCTCACACACACATATATATATTCATTATTTATTTGTAATATATAAATAAATATATTGTCATGTGGTTTTAATTTTTTTTTAACAGTGGACTAAATATATCTCTCTCTGCTAATTTTCTTTTTAGACATCAATATCAAAACTTACTTTCTGCATTTCAAATACATGATTTGACAGGCATAAAATGGAGTGCATTTAGTTAAACCTCATACTTTTGGGTGGACTAAATACACCTTTAGAGCATCTCCAACAACAATGCTAACAAAGAAAAGTGAGATTTTAGCAAATTTTTTACTCTAATAGCTATACTATCTTGTATGCTAAAATAGAGAAAAAAAGATAGAGAAAGTAAAAATCTCCAAATTTGAAGAAATCTCTAAAACTTCATATTGAAGAGAGAGAAATATTATTGATTTCTTTTAAAAAATAAGGGACATTGAAATTAAATGTCTAGGTGAGAGAACTAATATTTATGAAATGTATTGAATAACTGGTTAAGTTGGATGTAGTTTTTTTTTAGAGAGTTTAACTTTTAATACTTTATTTTTAAAAAAACTATATCATAATATATTACTAAATGCACTCCTACTTAACAATTTTCTGATCATATACATAAACATTAATACTTACTTTTTTTATATTTAATTTATGATTCAAACTGATTTAGACATAAAAATAATAGACGTAAATTATACCATTTGTTTTAATGCAAGCATCACCCATGATATGAACTGGTGTTTACGTACGAAATAGGAATATGATTTGAGACTTTTGAGTGAGTCAAGTCAACAAGAAAAAGTCAATTGTATTGAATTACTTGTAAACCACGGATTTGTTTCGTCACCTGCGCTACTTCAAGATACGAATCTTTTCTAGAAATAAAACAAATAACAATAATGAGTCGACCAAAGTAAACTTGGCATCGTTTTGAACAATTTCTACGTGTTTTTAAGTCGTATAATAGGAATTAATTTCTATAATTACCTGAGTTGTTATTTTTCATACGTAAAAACCGCATATTTTACACAAATTGAAGACAATATTTTAAAAGGTACGAGGTGGAGGGGTCATGACACGTTTTTCATGTTTTGTTTACTCTCGTTACGTTGGTCTAAAGTGAGGTGTCGTAATCGTGGGCCATTTTGTTTTTGCTTTTGAATTTTCTTAACTTTATGTGTTTTCGTTAATTTTTTTTGTAAATTCTATGTCAGTATACTAATTTTCTTCTTTTTATGTAAGTTTAAATTTTTGTTTTGTTTTAAGGTATGTAATTTTTATATACAATAAATGTATATTTTATATCTCTTGTGAGGTTTGAACCTTTAACCTCTTAGGGGGATGTTAGATTTCACCGGTAACTAGGGTATTGGGGATAATGATCACTTGGTAAATTATTTTATATTATTGGTAGGTAGGTAGGTAGGTAGGTAGATAGATTATGTGAGAACAAAAGTTATGCTGAGAAGCATAAGAAGAGATTTTCACCCTTAGATCAATCATAATTGAATGTCAACAATAACAAGGTGCACCAAGATGTATCGAATTGGTTCCCTTCTAAAATGCAATTCATGGGTGGGCATGAGATTAAAAGTGACAAGGGTTCGGATATCTTCTTACGCTTCTCATCATAATCTCCATTTTTACACGATCTTTCACACACACACACACACACACTTGTTGTCTTAATGCACATTTTGAAAAACGTCGTGAATTCATGGTGACTCCTAAGGTTTGACATTATTGTCTTGTCATAACTCACACCATTTAAAATCTTGATAAAAAATAGTAGAAACATCCAATAAGAAATGAAAGACAAATTTAAAGCTTCTATAAAACTTTTTTTTGGAAAGAAGAAAACTAAGGGGCCGTTTATCAAACATTTACCCAGTAAGTGTTTACCGGTAAAATTTAACACTATTATGTAATTACCGGATAAGATTTTAGTCCATCAAAACGACATAGTATATAATAATTTATCCGGTAAGCGCTTACCGTGGTAAGAGTCATCGCCTTCACTTACCGGGTAAGATTCTTGGTCCTTACTATATTCATCCGGTGAGACAATGTTACTTGGTAAGCGTTTACCCGGGTAAGCGTTTGGTAAACGTCCCCTAAGTAGAAAAGCGTGTGGTAGGCGGCACTTTGAACTTCTATGTACATGATTTAGACTTCCATAATAAAGTGGTATTCTTGGATCACTATATTTCTTCGTGGGCAGATTGGTTTAGGAAACCCTCTTCGTGTTGGTGCATGGTTGTCCTTAGTGTGTTGGTGTTTTGGGGTTTCTTGGTCCCAACTTGATTAT